TCAAAAACTTCTGACATTGCCAGTCCTATGAATAACCTACTACTATTATGGACTACTGGACTATATTAGATTATTTTGCTAAATTAACAGACCTACAATATTTAAATGACAATGGAATACCCTTCTCTGACAAAACTAAACAAAAAAAGAGGATACAAATGTAGAACCATTTTGTGTCTGTATATACAAAATAGTTAAGATAGATATACAGCTACTTTCTCTTAATTCAATAAAGAGAAAGATTTGTACTAATAGTGGTTGTGGACAGAATATCATGTCTGCATTTTGTACTATGAATAAACACTACAAAGACAACAATATTCAATGTATTAATCATTGTAACTGTCATACTGACCTGTTTTGAAACTGTCTCATTGCTATTTGTTTCTCAATAAAATTAATAAAACATAAAATAAAATAAAATAAAACTACAGCCAAGTTTGTTTCAGTTTCTTTGCTGCAAGCTTATGCAAAGTCAAATATTTTTTATTTTGTTCTCCCTTCATTGAGAATGTAATCCTCCCAAGGTGCGAGCTTACAGAGACAGGTTCTCTGTGATGGTTAGCTGTCAACTTGACTGAAATATGAGACTTTTCAAAAGATGATTGGATCATGGGGGTACTCTACTTACAAATGGAGTAATCCATGATCTTCAGAGATTAATGTCTCATAGGACCCAGTGCAGGTAGTGGTAGGTCCCTGGGGCCATGCCGATGGAAGGTACCCCTCCTGTTGGGGCTATTCCAGCTCCGCTTCCTGGTTACCATGAAGTTAGCAGCCTCCCTCCACCACACCCTTTCACCATGATGTCTTCTGCCTTGGAGCCACCCAGCTTTAGACTAAATTCTCTGAAACCCTGAGCTAAGGTAAACCCCTCTTCTTGTAAGTGGTAAGTGCTGGATATTTTATTCCAGTAATGGGAAAGCTGACCAATACAGTGTCCAATTCTATATTCTACTCTGCATGAGTTCTGGGCTTTATGCCTCTTCCACAATTGGGCATTACAACTGAAATCCTTGGTGATAAGATAAAGTCCCCTGAGCAGCATCCAGCTCAGCATTCCCTGTATCTTTGGATATCTGCTGTGGCTTCACTGTGGGACCACACACATACCTCCTCATTCTTGTCATGTTGATGATGCATATTTTTATGCAATATCATAGTTCATGGTCAAAAAGCTTTAAACTATTGTGCTAATGGATCCGATATCTGGTCTTGGTGCCTGGCTTTTTTAAATAGGGACTCAAAAAGTAATTTCTTTTCAAGTTTTTATTTGATTGTGCCTCAGAAATAAATACTCATCTCAGTGAATTCCTCAGGACATAGAACTCTTAAAAAAGATGAGTGCTAAGTCCCCATAAAATATGACAGTGGGGAGTCCAGATTTGTAAGGGTCCCTTTGCAAGTATTTATCTTATGCTGAAAGAAGTTTAAAAGACAGCTATGGATTAGCAGTTCCAGGTAATAGCTGAAACAATTGAGAACAGAGACCATAATGGGGTAGTGGCTTGAACATGAGCTGAAAGCAAACCCTCGACTCAGTAGTGAACCTCAAGCCTCTCAATTTCAAGCCCCTCAAAGTTGGAGAAAAGTACTGCAGCCTGCAGCATAGAACCACATGGCTTGATCCAGACAAACTGGAAGAAGGATCCTGTCTGCCTCCTGTTTCCTCCCCTCCCAGGTATACACCCTCTACTCACCTGATCCAGTTTGGGCAGAAATTGTTCTTGAGGTGGTCATTGATATAAATGGTACGATGATTTGAGACTTCCAAGCCTTGCCGGTATCTTTGCCAGCCCATCCTTTCCACCACCTTCTGATACCCAAAGGAAGTATGAACAGATCCTACAGTGAGAAGGCACAGACATGTTACTCATTATGCAAGGCAGGCATGCTCTGGACCCCAGCCCTCCAGTCCTCTAGCCCCACAGCTCCTTTCCTGACCTTCATCTCCTCCAGGTCAAGGCCAAGACACAGGGTGGGTACAGTTAAGGAGCCACATGGGCGCTCTGCCAGCTTGAACAACTCTATCCCCTCTCCAGCCCCCAGGCTCAGGCTGGTGTGAGGCCTAGGATGGAGAGCACCCCAAAGTGAGATAGGGCCCAGAGACTCAGACAGAGGCAGCCAAGGCCACCTTCATGTTCCCCTCCCTTGGCTACTCCTTATCCTTTCCCCTGAGAAAAAGTAACTACTTTAGAAAACCTGTAGTTATAAATTCATTCCCTACACCCTTTAAAATGTGTATAAATCTCTTTAAAAGCTTCTTGCTACCTTTAAGTTTCAGGGAATGTCTTTTTCCAGAACCCAGGGCATCCCTTTAAAATGTTGACATCAAGGAAGAAAACCTCCATCTCTCAGTACTTGTAGGAAAGCCAGCAAGTTTGGTGGGTGCCTTGATCCAAAGTATAAAACTCCTCTTGTCCTGAGGACACTGGAAAGTTCACTTTTCCTCTGGGTAAAGCCCATTAGCAAAAGCATGTGACTCACAATGACTTGACCCAATACAAGTTAGGTTTTTGGAGTTTCTATTTTTATTTTTGTTTTTTGTTTTTGTTTTGTCTTGTTGTGAAGTCCATGCTGCCCTTGAACTCACAGGATTCTCCTGCCTGAGCCTCCCAAGTGCTGGGATTACAAGTGTGCACCACCACACTCAGCCCCATCCAAGTCTTAAAACCTCTGTCCTTTCAGCAGAATGGAGCCCACCTTCTCTTCCAATGGCAGTTGTCTTACTTCCTTGCTGGTTTTACACTGTTATGTAGTTTTTACTCTGACACATTGTGACTTAAAAATGACAGAAATTTTGAACAAAACTATCAAAACAAGCTTTATTGGGGCCATCAAGATAGCTCAGCAGACTGTAGCACCTGCTTAGGCAAGCCTAGAGACCATGGTTAGATCCCTGGCACCACATGCCATGCCAGCCCTGCCCCCAGGGTGGGCTGAGTGGGCCAGAGTTGGGGCATAGAGCACAAGCCTGTAATCCCAGTACTGAGGAAGCTGAAAGCAGGAGAATCATCACGAGTCCGAGCTGCATAGTGAGACCCTGCAATAACAAAATACATTTTTGAAAAGCAACAAAGACAAAACTAGGAAGGGGATTGTCCTATATATTCTCAATGCAAAAGAATCATCTTTGTACCAGAATCCATGTGCCTGAATTTTATGTTTTGTCAAAGGTCCCAGAGCCTGGGATCAGTGTGCATGTTCAAATCCTTGGGTAAAGACATCTTCCACCATCATTATATATTCAAGACAGTTGGATCTCTTCATGCATTTCACTAGCAACAAGTCCAAGCATGGGTATGGAGAGTAAAGGATGAGAAACAGGTGGGTAAGCAGTTGCTGATGAAAACAAATGAAGCCCACGTCACCTTAGCATCATCTACAAGGCTGTCTCTTGCCGCCATTCACCTGTCACTCACCTAAGAAAACAGCAGAGCTCCCATACCAGTCCTGATCATCTCCTCCAGCTACACCCATCTCAGTGCAAATCCAACCCTGGAGAGCAGCCCACTTCACTGAGAAATGATAAAGCAAAGGAGCATACAATCTGTATGAAAGTGGTACAGTCTTTTGCCCAAAAGAGGAGGAGGTATGAGGGAGAGATAAAGGGAATTCCTTGTGCATATCAGAAGAATTAAATAGAGAGCAGCTGGAAATGACTTCTTTTAAAGAAATTAAACATGTGAAGCAAGAGCTCCAAAAGAAACACAAAGTCAGAAAAATAATTATAAAAAAGGACCAGCCAGATAGCTCAGTGGGTTAAAGAGCCTGCTTAGGCAGATGCAAGGACCGGGGTTCATTCCCTGGCATGCCAGGCGAGTCCCACCCTAGGGGGCACACTGAGATGGTGACTGAGACTGGGCATGGTGGCACACCTGTAATCCCAGTGCTTGAGAAGTTGAAAACAGGAGGATCACTATGAGTCCGATCTGTGTAGTGAGACCCTGTAGACGCTGTCTGTTATGGTTTGTGTATAGGTGTCCCCCCAAAGCCTCAAGCAGTCTTGGGGCAGCTTCTGGAGTTTGTGATTGATTACTGTGGGTGTGGATGCTGCACCTGCCCTGGGGCAGATAATTTGCATTACAATGTAAGGTGGGAAGAGAAGCTAGCTGCTTGAGCTGCTGCTACCCCTCCCTTGGGCTCTTGCTCTTTGCCACCATCATGAAAGTTTGCTTTCTGCTCTGTGCTGCTCTGCGTTGTACCCGGCTGAGTATGGACTGAAGCCTCCAGTAATTGTGAGCTAAATAAACCTTTCCTTCCTTCATTTTGAGTGTCGGGTATTTGTCCCAGCAATGAGAGAAGAGTAACTAAGACAGAATTTGGTACCGCAGGAGTGGGGTCATTGCTGTGGATAAACCTGACCATGTGGATTACAAGCTTTTGGGAATGGCTTATGGGAAGAGATAGGAAAGGTTTGGAGATGTCCTCTACTTGCGAAGAGCTGGAACAGCTTCGGCTGTTCTGTATGGGAGATTCTGGTCAGAGCTCAGAAGACCAGAAAGTTGATAGAAAGCTGGCCTGTAAAGACCAGGCTGGGGAGGTTTCTGCTGGGAAAAAAGACAGCATTGGTTGTTGAACTCCAGATCATTTGTGTTTTGACTTGGCAGAGAAGTTGTCTGCATTTTGCTCGTGCCCAGAGTCTTTGCCTGAGACTGAGTTTAAGCATGGCGGACTGATCAATCTAGCAAAAGAAATTTCAAGGCAGCCAAATATTGGGGCAGTGGTGTGGTTGTTACTGAGGGCTTTTAGCCAGATTTATTTTGAGAATCAAGAGCAAAGAGCCCAAAAGAATGATTTAAAATGTGAGTTTGGCCAGAAAGGAAGCTCCAGGAAAGCTGTGGACTGTGAAGACAGAGCTGAGACGATCTCCATTGCTGAGAAGGAACAGAAGAATAGAAAAGATGTCCTGAGGGCATCACAGGAGGTGGCAGGTTCTTGCCCTTTGCAGCCTAAGAATGGCAAGGGTGAGGGACTTTGCTTTGAAGGGAAGGCTGCTGAGCCCCATGTTCCAGAATGGCGGCGGCGGCCACACCAGGTTCCAGAATGGCGCCGGCATGGAGAAATTATTTCTCCAAATCAGGGTCAGAGTGCTCAGCCATCCAGGCACTCGACCCCTAAGGCCAAGAGAGAGCTAAGTCTGGCTACTGCTCCAGCTGGCAGCAGACCTTGGCGTCATCCATGTGGTGATGGTTTTAGGCGCTTACAGAATGCAGGAGTTCTGAGGTTAAGAAGGCTTCCACCTCGATTTCAGAAGAAGGCCTGGGAGCCCAGGCAGTGTGCCCCTAGGAGGGCAGTGTGTGAAGCTGTGAGAGAGAAGCCTATTCAGTGGAAACCCCAGAAGTTAGGAAAAGCCAGGAACGTGGATCAGCTAAGGGAAACTGCAAGGAGGAAGCAAAGCCAGCCTGAGAGAGAAGCCATGGGAGCTACCACCATGAGTGCCCCAGGGGCGGAGCCTCATGGAGCTCACAACTCATCACAGATTGCTTGGGATGTCCCACATGGAACTTCAGGACTTAATGCTTGCCCTGCTGGATTTTGGACTTGTGTTGGTCCCAATGCTTGGTGTCCTGCTGTGTGTACCTTTTGGAATGGCAATGTTTATCTTGTGCCTTTGAATGTTGCAAGTGGTTAAGTTTTCATTTGCACAGGGGCTCACAGTTGAGAGTTTGCCTTGGATCTTGGAAGAGACTTGGGACTTGGACTTTTTAGCAATGCTGAAACTTTTGGGACTTTGGCAATATAGAGATGGACTAGAATGTCTTTTGCATAAAGGAATGTGCATGAGTCTTTGGAGGTCCAAGGGCGGAATGTTATGGTTTGTGTATAGGTGTCCCCCCCCAAAGCCTCAAGCAGTCTTGGGGCAGCTTCTGGAGTTTGTGATTGATTACTGTGGGTGTGGATGCTGCACCTGCCCTGGGGCAGATAATTTGCATTACAATGTAAGGTGGGAAGAGAAGCTAGCTGCTTGAGCTGCTGCTACCCCTCCCTTGCTCTCTTGCTCT